GTAACAGCTAGTGATAATTGGATGTCCTGCATGCACCTGTGAACATACAGCAGCCTTTTCTCCCTGCCACATCCCAATTATTTCTAGTAAGAAATGGCTTTCATTCCAGCCCCAAACTCACCGTCTTCAAACAACTCGATCAACTTAGCAACATAAGGTTTTTCATCATCATCTCCTTCAATCAACACAAACTGTCCAACCTGGATGCGAATCTCAGTGGGACAGCTTCTTGTTTTCATACTTATTTCTCTAGAAAGTAAACCAGAAATATGTTAGGAAATTCTTGGGGTGGGAAAAGTTCTTTAAATCCTCCCCGAGTACAGAGCAATGTGTTCTTAAATCAGAAAGTTCCCTAGTTTCTTCACACTAACCAACTCTCCTATTAAGAAACCAAGAGTAGACAACATAGACTAAATAAATTATTTTAGCATGAGTGATTAATCTACAGACCTTAACATGAACTATGAAAGCTGCCCAATAACACTAAAAATGTTGAGCTGAGGTAATAGTAACAACATCTCTTATCGTCTCCATGAAGTTATACAGAATTCATCTTAAGTAGATGACATAATCGTACTATGAGGTTTTAATATCCGACTTCAACTTAGCCCCATGACTATTTATGCTACCGTGTTCTTATAATCAGTGCATGTCTACTGTCCTTCAGTCCTCAATCTGCATTAACTTAAACTGTCTAGATACCTTTTCCTAACAGTTTAGCTAGAGAAGCTGTTTTCCCAGCCCAACCAAAGGGCCCTGTCACTCACTTGTAGGTTTGGTAGTGAAGCTGTCGATCCAACAATGGCCTGCCAACCCATGAGTATATTTGTCTGGTCTTCTGCCTTGTGGAGTATGGCGTCATGGTTCCTGTGAAAAAGGCTTAATTCAGTTTCTATAACAATGACTCTGATAGAGATTAATATATAGTCAGTTCCTTCCTTCAGTGAGCTCAGCTTTGTGTGTGTGTGTGTGTGCGCGCGCGCCAGTTCTTGGGCTTGAACTTAAAATATAGGTGCTATCCCTGAGCATTTGTACTCAAGGCCACGCCTCTACCACTTGAGTCACAGCTCTACTTATAGCTTTTTTGGTGGTTAATTGGAGATAAGAGTCTCTCAGACTTGGCTGGGAAGGTAGCTTAGTGTTAGAGTGCTTGCCTAGCATGCATGAAGCCCTGGGTTCGATTCCTCGGTACCAAATAAACAGAAAAGGCCAAAAGTGGCAAAATAAAAAACATGAAAAAAAAATTTTTTTAAGTCTCTCACACTTTCCTGCTCAGGCTGGCTTTGAACTGAAAGCTTCAGATCTCAGCCTCTTGAGTACCTAGTATTACAAGCATGAGCCACCTGAATACATTTTTAAAAACAAATTAATATGTGCTATGATATAGCAATTCTATCAGAAATACAAATCTGCAATAAAAAGACAAGAACCAGGGGCTGAGCCGGGCGCTGGTGGCTCACGCCTGTAATCCAGCTACTCAGGAGGCTGAGATCTGAGGATCTCGGTACAAAGCCAGCCCAGGCAGGAAAGACCATGAGACTTCTATCTCCAATAAACCACCAGAAAACCGGAAGTGGTGCTGTAGCTCAAGTGGTAGAGCGCTCGCCTTGAGCTGAAGAGCTAAGGG